ACGTTAGTCATTTTAGGAATTATTCATTTGCCGTAGTACCCACTAACTAGAAAAAAAATGGATCCTGTTCTGGAAACAACGATGAAACATAAAAAACTCATTTAGTTACGTCCTGTTGTGAGACATTATATTCCAGGACAAAAGACGCAACATAAATCTCAAATATATTTATCTGAATCCATCTTAGCTGCGTTATCTAAATGAGAGTTGGTCTGAGTTATGAGTTGCCATTTCTGTCCAGAAATTCCCCAAAATTTAAAGGAGCAGCTGGAACATTGACTGCCATCTACTGGCCAGAACAGGGATTGCAGTGGGAAAGTGGAAAAGATGGGAACTGCAGTCTTTTTTTGTTTGTTCAAGTTTGTATAAATTGAAAAATTGTCTGGTTTTTATTACCAAGATTTCAATTTATTCTGAGTTTATTATGAAACTTGCTTCAGGTGGGTTTTATGAACAATGGAAGGATCATGGCTGTGGATTACTACTATTACGCCAACGCCGGCTGCTTTGTGGATGAGTCTGTGCTGGTAGGTCATTGAGTTTATGTTCTTAGAGAAAATATTCACTGACCTTCAAGAATATAAAACAGAATCACTGATTTGGACCGTTTTGTAGATATCTGAGAAGATTCTGCTTCATCTGGACAACGTTTACAACATTCCCAACATGAGAGGCCACTCGACTGCCTGCAGGACCAATCTGCCCTCCAACACGGCGTTCAGAGGCTTCGGCGTCCCGCAGGGCCTGCTGGTGGTGGAGAACATGGTCAATGACGTTGCCATGGCGCTGGGACGCCCCGCAGACCAGGTCAGAGGTCATCTTGGTGCCAAATGGTCATCAGGAAGTACTTTGCTTTCTGATTGTGAAATGCTCTGCAGGTCAGAGAGGTCAACATGTACAAAGGCCCGTCAGCCACTCACTACAAGTTCGAGTTCAGCCCGGAGAACCTGCATCGCTGCTGGGACCTTTGCAAGCTGAAGAGCGACTACAGCGCCCGGCGCCAGGCCGTGGACCAGTTCAACCAGCAGAACCGCTGGAGGAAGAGGGGCATCGCCCTTATTCCCATCAAGTACGGCATCGCCTTCGCAGAGAGCTTCTTAAACCAGGTCCGTGAGGTTCTGTTCACATCGCTTCCATCTGGATCCATGTCAGCTGCCAGAACATTTTCAGGGTTTCTGTTGGTGTTTGTCAGGCCGGAGCGCTGGTCCACATTTATAAAGACGGTTCTGTTCTGGTGACTCATGGCGGGACGGAGATGGGTCAGGGGATCCACACCAAGATGCAGCAGGTACTGAACTCAACCAGATGTGGCTGGTTTTTAGGACAAATATATTTATACACATTTCTGATTGTTATTTTTAGTGGAAAAATGTTTCTAAGCACAAAAAAACAAAACTTCACCAGTCACAGAAAAGACAATAAATAATAATAAAAAGAGCAAAATATTAGTTTATTTTCAGTAATATTATATGGATGATTAAATAAATGAAAAACTAAAGAAATATAAAATAAAAAACATAATAAGGGATTGAAAAACCTTAATAATTACAATATATAATAAATTCAATAGAAGTACAGCCATTTTTGTAAAGTTAAAAAGAAACATAATTTCTTGGTAGAAGTATAAATAGCTAACAATTAATTTATTAATGTGATTATAGAATAATTAAAATGTGCTAATATAATTAAATAAAATAAGAAGTTATTTTATGTAATGAAAATAAAAAAGGAATACAAGAAAATAGCAATAAAAAACTCAATATAAATTAATATTCATAACACAAGAATGCCAAAAAAAATCTTATATAAATGTAACATACATTATATTATTAAATGTAATTTAGTGTTGGGAAAACATTTTAACAATTATTAAATCAATGTAATAAATAACTTTCTTGAAAATAACTTCACAGTAAAAAAATAAAAATGCAAATATTTTTTTCTAAGTAACAAAATTATTTGTGAAAAAAACTCTAATAATAAATTCTAAAATGAAATGATACTTTATTGTTATTATATTATTACAGAGCTATTGACATTTAACATATATCAAAAATAAATTACTCTGAAAGTGAACATTTCAGTGAGTGCAAATAGTTTTTCTGAACCTGAACCATGTGGATCATTTTAACTGGATCTGCTTTATTTATTTCTGAACAAACCAAATAACTTGATGATAAAATAACCTGGGATCCTGTTTGCTGTCAGGTTGCAAGTCGGGAGCTTCACATCCCGACGTCAAAGATCTTCCTCAGTGAAACCAGCACCGGCACCGTTCCAAACACCTGTCCCTCCGCTGCTTCCTTCGGCACCGACGCCAACGGCATGGCAGTCAAGGTGAGCCTTGTTCCTGCTGTCTGTGCTGCATGTCTGGGCTTCCTTTGCTCATTTCTGTTGTTTTTACTGTTTTCAGGAAGCCTGTGAGATTCTGTACCGCAGACTGGAGCCGATCAGGCTGAAGGACCCTAAAGGATCATGGGAGAGTTGGGTATGAAGTGTTGGAAACATGACGTTGAGCCTTGAATGGTTTCAATCAGTGGTGGACACACTTCCATGAATCTAATAGTGGAGCTAATTTTTAGCTTACAGCTTCTGACAACTTTCAAAAATGTTTAGCGCACTTAGCTTCCTCTAAATTATTTCTCTCCATATAATTTGTAAAACGTTAAAGTTTGAAGCTGTTAAGAAGTCTTCAAGTAGTGAGTCTTAAAGTAGGAGAAATCAACCACGATAAAACTAATATTTATGATCAGTGCTTTAGCGTTTGGAGAACTAATACCTGTGATTGACACTTTAGCATTAGCGGGACTAATATTTACACTTAGCACTAGCAGAACTAGTGCTTTGGCGTTATGATTAATGCTTTAGCATTAGCAGAACTAGCTTTTCCGTTAGCAGTGCTCACCATTGGTTTTAATGGGTCTGTAACATTATTGTTTGCTCTGATGGCAGATCAAGGAGGCTCATCTGCAGAAGATCAGTTTATCAGCCACTGGGTTCTTCAGGTACATCTAAACTCTACTGCTTCAGGTCTTTCCTGACCAAAGCAGCAGGTGAGAACTTTCTCCTCTGTTCCTCCACAGAGGGGAAGACCTCTACTATGACTGGGAAAAGATGGAGGGCCATCCGTACGCCTACTTTACCTTTGGGGTGTGCTGCTCTGAGGTGGAGCTGGACTGCCTCACAGGAGACTACCGGGTGTGGATCTGCCTGTTGTCTGAACCGTTGGAACATCCCTCGGGTTTGTTGGAAATGGAGTAACGTCGGTGTCTTCCTGCTTCTTGCAGACACTGAGAACGGACATTGTGATGGACATCGGCAGAAGCATAAACCCGTCTGTGGACATTGGCCAGGTAGGACCCGGTTAAAGGACCTCACAGCAAAAATGTAGATATTTGAACTTCCTTACCTCTGTGTTTGTTGTCTTCGTCAGATTGAAGGAGCGTTCACGCAGGGTCTGGGTCTCTACACTCTGGAGGAGCTGAAGTACTCCCCAACCGGGATCCTGTACTCCCGAGGTCCGTCCCAGTACAAGATCCCCGGGGTGTGCGACGTGCCTCTTAAGTTCAACGTCTACCTCCTGCCGGACTCCTACAACCCCCACGCCATCTACTCCTCAAAGGTCAGCACCGAGTGGTGAAGGTTTCTCGACCTATATTGGACCTCTCTCATGGTTGTTTCTGGCGCCATAGGGAATCGGAGAACCCACCCTCTTCCTGGGCAGCTCCGTCTTCTTCGCCATCAAAGACGCGGTGACGGCGGCTCGCTCCGACTCCGGACTGTCGGGCCCATTTTTCCTGGACACGCCTGCGACTCCGGAGAGGGCCTGTCTGGCTTGTGCCTCGCCATTTATTAAGAAGGTAGAGTTGAGGACGGTTTACTTAGACTCCTAAAAGTGAAACGTTCATCTTGAAATTACAACTTTAATCTGTTTTCATTCACAGGTTCCAACCAGTAAGCCGGGATCCTTCAAACCCTGGGCCTTAGACATCTAAAATCCATCCAATCCACGACCTAATCAACTGTGAATTAACCTTAACCAACAAATGTACTTATTTTCCTGTAAATGGTTTCCACTACAAGAGAAATGAATCCATTTGCGACCATGAAATGTGTCACTGATTATGTGATTTTGCTCCTAGAGCAGAATAATGAAATGAACCAATTTTGGATACTGATTATTTTAACTCCACTTTTGCAAGAATCAATCATGCAACTAGAGGATCATTTTAAAAACTTGTAACCACATGTAAATGTGTAGGTAACTTTTTAAAAATCCTGTAATCAACAATAAATTGTGCATAAATTCAAAGATTTGAGCGAACTTGTTTTTTTTTTTGTTTGTTTCTGATATCAGCACTGATGCAGAAAGATTTTCTTTTTTTGTCCTGTTAAATAAGGTTTTTATTCAAAACGTTCCATATTTTCAGAGTTTTCATGCCCTGGGTAAGTGCCCATCTAAAACCTTGCCACTTATGTAGAGCCCCATTGTTCTGTGGGGCTCTACACAAGCCCCACATAAATAAAGAAAATCAACTGATTTTCTTTATTTATTACAGTTTGAGTTCGATTTTAATTTTACGTATCCATCAATAGCATATGACCCTGTGAAATTGCTTTTTATTTAAACTGCTTTCATGCTAATAGCTTTAGCTACACATGAGCACTTTTATTTGCTGTTTTTTTAACACCGTTTTTCCCACAGCTCTACTAATCACTACAGATCATCTGTGTAAAATACACAGGTTAAAACTTAAAGTTCATCTTCGCCTTTGTCGGATGCTTTGATGATCTGAAATACTTAAATATATATGACCAAAAAAAAGGAAAAATAGAAGAAATCTATAAGGAGGTAAATAATATACCAAAACCGGACATATAATCTAGTAGACACAATGAATTGAAAATAAAACATAAACTTTGAGCTTTGGGTGGGTTGGAAGAATTGGTAATCCTCCTCTTCTCATCCCCTCTAACCACGCATGCGCGGTGGGCGGAGCCAGCTGTAGTCCTGACGGGAAGGTCTTTTTGTTTGGGCCGCTCAGAGACTTGACATTTGCTTCACTTCCCCTGGTTCACAACCGTTTTTTATCTGCATTAATTTCGGTGAGTATACTCACCAGAATCCTCAAGTGTTCTCCAAATTGTGGGTTGTTTATTTGGACCGGCGGCATGTTTAATTAGTTGTTGTAAGTCAAGTTTAGGGGCTCTTTTGGAGTCGGGGGTTTTGGTCCGACGTAGGGCGAATCCTGTTTGCTCCAGTTCAGTTAGCTTACTGCTAGCATTAGCTGCGCTCACGCTTTCTTTAGCTCTGCTTCAACAAAGTGTCACGGATCGGCGTGACATTGCGATGGTAGGCTGTGTTTAAGTACAGACCAACTGTCCTTAGATCTCAGTGAGGTTTGAACCGAATAATGCTGGTGATGTAAGCCCGGTTAGTAACGCAGCAGGCCCGGCTAACAAACAGCGGCCCGGCGCATGGTGAGGCCCGAAGTTAGCCTGAGCTAATCCCTCAGTTAGCCGGCTTTAGTATGAAATGATCCCAGCTTACAAATGATCAGATTGTTCAGGAATATTCCTGATATCCTTCCATGTTGGATTTACACACAATTCCTCATAAAAAGGCCGATAATGGCGGCAGTTGTTCGAAATCACGACCCGACACCCACCAGCTCCATTGTACCTCCCAGCTTCGCCTTTTGTCTGGCCCTCCTTCCTTTTGTGAGGCGCTTCAAAAGCCTCACCTGTGAGGAAAAAAATAAGGCTTAAATCTGTTATTTTGCGTCATTTTACATTAAATAACTTTAGAAAACAGTTTTGTGGTGTGTTTAAAAATAATATGTTGGTAATTATATTTCTGAGCGTTGAGCAAACTACTGTAAAGACCGCAGGCATGAAGACATGTTGGGGTCAGGTGACACGATGTGACCCGATCAGCCCGGAAATTCATGCCGCACCTGATAAATATGACGGGAAAGAGCATCAGGAGACTTTCTTAGTAACACCAGTGTTATAAATTAAATGTTGAGACAGCTGGGACATTTTAAATTAAGTTTTAGGGAATTTATTTTCACCCCTTGCAGAATTAGATTACCAGTAAAAATGGATATGTTGACTTAATTGTCTGTATTTTGTTAAATTCAATCAGTGTAAAATATATTTTAAAAATCAATTTTCATATTTTGATTATTACTCTTTCGCATAAGCAGTCTTTTAAGAGGATGGTGTGAGCAAAATGGTAACATAAACTTTTACATTTTCTTGTATTTATTTCTGTAACTGAAGTTTATAAACATAAATTTGGTTTGAAAAAACCTCTGTATTGTAAAACTTTTCTCCTACATTATCTGTAGCAGATGTAACTCTAAGACATCCAGCAAAATGTTGAATAAAAAGATGAATTTAATCAATATTTTAAATCTTATTTAAACGGGCAGCAGCTTGTTGTATTTCTAGTCAGTCAGATGTTTTTGTTTTATTTTCTTGCCAAGCTGATCAGCAGTGTGCAGCAACACAGCTTGTGTGAAATTATGTTTTTAAAACATTTAGAAAAGACTAGTTTCCTCCTGACTTTGGTTAATTTTAAAACAAATTTACCAGCAGTTTTGTTTGTTTTTGTGAGTAAAATCATTGCCTTCCATCCAGTTTGTTCAGTTTCACTGTTTATTGTTGAATAGAGCTGCAGCATGTCTGAAAGGTGTAAAGTCTTTCTTCTGTTGTAGTTTGGTCATTAACCGTTGTCTTTGTCTCCTCCCAGGTGTCTTTTATGAATAATCAAAAGCAGCAAAAGCCAACGCTAACCGGCCAGCGTTTCAAAACGAGGAAAAGAGGTAACTGCTCTCCTCTTGGCGTTTCTTCCTCCGTTTCTCTGCTTCTGATTTAACGTTTTTATTTTCACCCCCTCCTAGATGAAAAGGAGAGATTTGACCCTACTCAGTTTCAAGAAAGTATCGTACAAGGCTTGAATCAAACTGGCACTGATTTGGAGGCGGTCGCAAAGTTCCTTGATGCCTCTGGCGCCAAACTCGACTACCGCCGGTATGCAGAGACGCTCTTCGACATCCTGGTGGCCGGCGGCATGCTGGGTAAGTCTGAGAGAGCGGCGGCGGTTTGTGTTTGAGTTTCCTGAAAGCTAACCGTGTGTCCCACAGCACCAGGCGGGACGCTGTCTGACGACTTGACCCGTACCGAGTTCTGCCTCTTTACGGCGCAGGAAGACCTGGAGACCATGCAAGCATATGCTCAGGTACGACGTGACGCAGCGATGCAGCGCAGCGCTCCGGTGGGTTTAAACAACAGACGCTGACGAGGTTTCTGTTCCTCTCATCAGGTTTTTAACAAGCTGATCAGGCGCTACAAGTACCTGGAGAAGGGCTTCGAGGAGGAGATCAAGAAGGTGAGGAGACGCAGCTGTTTATAGATGGAGTGGATTATCGCTGCAACGAGACACCTCAGCGCGGCTGCAGCACCTGCTAACGCTGCGGCTGTTTGTTTGCAGCTGCTGCTGTTTCTAAAGGGGTTCACTGAGTCTGAGCGCAACAAGCTGGCCATGCTGACCGGCATCCTGCTGGCCAACGGCAGCATATCCGCCTCCATCCTGACCAGCCTCTACAACGAGAACCTCGTCAAAGAGGGTGAGGCTCCACACAGCCACTTCCTGCTGGGGTTTACCACTTCCTGTTCCTGTGTTTGACCCGAATGTGCCCAAAACTTTCACTTTATCGTAGCAGAACTTAAAATATTGTTCCTCAAGTAAAAGTAAAAAGTACTGATCAAATTATCATTTAATGTTTAAAATTACATAATCAGATGCACAGAATTATGAAGCTAAGTGGAATGTAGCTAGTTTAAATGGAACTAGTTTAAATGTAACTAGTTTGTACCCGGCTCTGCTTCTAGGAGTTTCTGCAGCTTTTGCTGTCAAGCTGTTCAAGTCGTGGATCAACGAGAAGGACATCAACTCTGTTGCTGGCAGTCTGCGCAAAGTCGGCATGGACAACAGGCTGATGGTAAAACGTTACGGGAGACGCTCTCCGTCTCCTGTAACCATGGAAACATCCAGTGCTTTTACAGACGAGCCGCCTGAAATCCAGATGTTGACCTGATATTTGAATATTTAGATGAAAATAAAAAAAATCTACTTTTTAGAGTCATTTTTAAAATGTTGAGGCAACTAAACTGTTTTTATAAGAAAAGTTGCTGCTGGTGAATCTAGATGAAGTAGATTAGCATTTAATTTGTCAATAAATAAGCAAACTAATGTATTGTGTGAATATTTTCCACATTGGTTTAAAGTTTTCTGTTGATTTTGATCCAGTAAAAAAAATTTAAAGGCAGAAATCAGGTTTTAAGACCAGATTTCCATCATGAGGACGGCTGCTAAAATGACAGTTACCACAATCCCAATAGTTTTACTAAGAGTGTTTATGTCAAAGTGTATGAATGAAAAGTTAAGTAGAAGGAAGAAATTTGCACACACTGCATTTCTGAACTTCTCTGTTCAAGTTAAGTGCAGCATTTTATTTGTGAATTAGAATTAAACACTTAAAATATGACTTGCAAATTCAGTTTTAATTGTTAAATGTTAACTTCATTCTATTTTATGAAATTGTTCCTTCTATTGTTGCTTTATCACATAAACAACAAACCTTACCTTTTTGTGGACATCAGATTACGATGACTTTAGCTAAAAAGGCTAATAGCATCCATGTTTGATAATTTTCCAGTAGTTTGTCCTGAGCTGCGTCTGACCTCGCCTGCTTTGGGATTGCTTTATTTCTTTCTTCAGGAACTCTTTCCTGCCAACAAACGGAGCTGTGAGCATTTTTCTAAGTACTTCACCGATGCCGGGCTGAAGGAGTTGTCCGACTTCGCCCGCAACCAGCAATCGATCGGCGCCCGCAAGGAGCTGCAGAAGGAGCTCCAGGAAATGATGTTGCGTGGAGACCCTCAGAAAGAGGTGAGCTTCCTGCTGCTGTGTAACTCCATCAACAGAGAGGGGAAATGGGTGGTAACCATCGGTAACCGGGCGGTGTTTGTTCCTCAGATCATCGCCTTCACCAGGGAGGAGATGAAGAAGGCCGGCCTGTCAGAGCAGGGCATGATCGGCATCATCTGGACCAGTGTGATGAGCTGCGTGGAGTGGAACAAGAAGGAAGAGCTGGTGACCGAACAAGCCATCAAACACTTGAAGGTGAAAAAAAATCAACATTTTCTAAAAAGTTAAATTTTCAAAAACCATAAAATGAATTTATCACCCGTTTTGTTTTCATCTTTACAGTTGCTGGAGGCCTTTAGCTCCAATATGATCAAAACAAAGATGTTAAAGTAAAAATAATGCAGAGTTGTGTTGTAAAATCTCCTGTAAATCTTTTTTTTTTTTTGCAGCAATACAGCCCTCTGCTGAAAGCCTTCAGCTCCCAAGGTCTGTCTGAGCTCAGCCTGCTGCTGAAGATCCAGGAGTACTGCTACGACAACATCCACTTCATGAAGGCGTTTCAGAAGATCGTGGTGCTCCTCTACAAAGGTCTGCCTCCAACTGAGTCACCGCGTTTTGTTTTCCTGTTTCCGTTGTGTTGAGTTGTGGTTGAGTCGAAGCAGGCGCTTTGAGAAACTTTGTCTTCCGTCTCTCAGCTGACGTTTTGAGCGAAGAGGCCATACTGAAGTGGTACTCTGAAGCCCACGTCGCCAAGGGGAAGAGCATTTTCCTCGAGCAGATGAAGAAATTCGTCGAGTGGCTGAAGAACGCCGAGGAAGGTATGTTAGCTTAGCGGCTAATTTACTGAGCTTTCTCCAAAAGAACCAATAAAAGAATGTGAATGTACATCCTGATCATAATGGACGCCTCGTTTTCACTGAGTGACAATGAAAACTTGTGCACCGAAACACGGAGACAAGGCATCAGATTTCTGATAAACTTGTATCTTTGTTCTTTTTGACTTTATTTAAAACGTTTTGCTGGTTCTAAAAATAACCTTGATAATCAAACATATAGAACCATGTCACATGAAACTAATATTTAAACAAATGCCGTTAAATTGTTTCATCATGGAAGTTTCCTACGTCACTGACTTCAATCACGTTTGCAGCATTAGCTTATAGCAGTAATGCAGCCACAGGCTAATGCTAAGTCTACAATCTAATGTTGGTTTTTTTTAAGCGTTTGGAGTCTTTTTAGTTTAAAAAAAAAACAAGCAAATGTTAGGGTTTCTAAACTCTACAGTTTTTGTCATAATTATCCTGTCCAATTAAACTGGTTGTCTTCAACTTGTCACAACTCTCCTGAACTCTTCATATTCCCCTGAAAAAAACCGTTATGGTCCAAAAGTTCCTGACATCCACTTTGAAACATGGTAGTTGCAGCATCATGACGTGGGAACTGACCCAAAACCATCAGGTGTTAGCTAGAAAGCTAATGAGGATTTTATCTTTTATTTTTAACAGAATGTGTCAAAATAAAAGTTGAACTGTTTGAACATGGCTTCAATTGGGCTCCAAAAACTCTTGCTAAAAAATCTAATTTTCTTTTCTGCAGAGTCTGAATCTGATGAAGAGGAGGCAGACTGAAACCTTCATCACCAGACGAGCTTTTCCAGTTTTTTTTTTTTTTTTTTTTTTTGTTCCGTTTTGTTTTGTAGCAGCAGGAGCAGTAGAATGTCTTGGCCCTTCCTCTTCTACCTCCTGTTACTGATTTCTCTCCACAAACACTCACCTCTACCACTGAAAAGTTTCAGCAGTATTTAAAAGCAAACGCTCCTGGAGGAGCCACGGCTCCGCCGGGGAATCAGGAAAACCAGGAATTCTGCCCTCTGTTCTCGATTCGTCTCCAATGCCTTCTGTAATCTGGATCCAAGGATTCGGAATAATCCCAGCCTCTTGTTTCTGAAGCAGGATTGGGTTTATATTTAAGGGAAGCCATGCGACTGCAAGGCTGACAAATGTAATCGGTTTTGCCAAAGTTTTTTTTATCCCGTTTATTTTGCTTTGTTTTTTTTTTTTTTTTTTTTTTGCAAATTCCCTTTTGTTTTTTTTCCACTTTTTTTTCCTCTTTTTTCTCATACCTTTTTTAA